GTACGTACGTCCCGTCCCCCGTCCCCCCGTCCCCCCCCCCCCCCCGGTCCGGCGGTGGCGTTGATTCTCAAAAAGTCGAGCAGGAGTGACAAAGCCATGGGCGCTGCAACCCCCGGCCTCAAGGTGACGATGGACACGACCGCATGCCGTTTGCGCGCGAGCTTCTTGTTTGCACGCCAGGACGTCACTCATCGAGATAGTGGGCCTGGGCTGACCAGCTCGCCCGTGTGACTCGAACAAGCTCTTTTTCGCTTGCTTGCTTGCCCTCTTATGACGCCCCTGCCCTCCCAAGCGGGAAAGAAATCTCACGGCAGCAGCGCGGTGTACCCGTTTCTCTTCTCGCCCCGTCTGACCACTGCGACCACGGTGCACCCCATTCTCAGCTACTGTGTACATCTTTCATTGACGAGCCCGCCAATCGGAAAAAAACCAGCCAAGCGTGCAGGTTGTTCTTGGCAGGGGGGTCCAGATCTGCTTGGCAGCCCCCAGCCCAGCCGCGGGGTGGCAGTGGCGTCTGCTCGGGGACGCCAAGCGAGAAGGAAAATGCTGCTGCCTGATCACCTGAGGGAAGAGTTATCTGTGGCGGCATCGGCGGCTAGGGGGGTGGGGTAGGGGAAGAGAGAGCCCAAAGAGGGAAGGCACGACTACAAGACGCAAGCCAGACGACGGGCCAGATGCGCGAATATCTCTGCGGTCCACTACTGGAGAGCCGCGGCGGCGGCGTCGAGACAGAATGCATACCCAGGTGGCACGGGGGTCGCTATCTGCATGCCCGTGGGAAGAGTTTGAGTCGTAGTGCAGGCCACGTGGGGTGTCTGTCGCGGACCCAGCAGATAGGGCCGCCCCTCACTTTGGCCCGACTGCCGCCGGCGCTTGACCGCTGGGGGAGAAGGGCAACAGAGACGACAGCAGAAGACGACAGCAGCAGAGGGCGGGGATTGCGGTGGCGCATCCTTCCCGCCAGGCAGCGACATTCTGGATGCAACCCCAGCCCACCCTACTTTTCCCACCCAGTAGCCCAGTAGCCGCGAAAAGCGGAGCGGGTGAGGTGAGGGGGTCTGGCCGCTAAGCTCACTAGCCCGCAGTTTATGGGAAGAGCAAGTTTGACAGTCCAGGGCAAATTAGACTAGCGAGCGTATTTCCATGCTGGTAAGCCCTTTCCCTGATGCTTCCATCTTCTCGTGGGGGCGGGCCGCTGACAAACAAATCCATCGTGTTGGCTTTGTGTTGAGAGAATGTGCTCGGTGACCCAAGACAGCAACGACAGAGGAAGTAATGTGGCTCTTTGGATGGCTTGTCGAGGGTGTACCGTGTAACATGAATGGCCCGACCAAGACACTTCTCGAGTTGAAGGATCTCGGCTTGGCCTTGAAAACTTTTGCGGCGGCGGCGACACACCAGAAGGCCGTCGAGGCGGCGCAGCAAGAAGCACGCCCGTCCGTCCCGCCCTCACCCCACCCGGTCGGTAGTGCGTCTCAGCCCTAGCAGCAGTAGCAGCAGTAGCAGCAGTAGCAGCAGCAGCGTTGACGGGATAGGCAGCTCTTTGGGGGCGGGGGTTACCCGAGTACAAGGAAGAAAGAAAACCACCAGAGAAATATTGACAGCCGCGGCGCATGCGCTGGCCAAAAACCGCATCTAACGAATCATGCTCATCGGAGCCTCCCCCAATCTCCCATCAAACGTGCTCTCACCACCCCCCTTTGAATATTATCTGGCTCTATCTGACTCTATCTGGCTCTAGGTGATGATTACAACGAGCACGGGTCGGAGCGAGATGAGCCCGCCAATTGGGGACAGTCGGGGTCCCTTAGGGAACACATGTAGATATCCTTAATCGACTTCCTCACCGGAGTTAAGGGCCTCGTGCAGAGAAAGCAGGAAATCGGGCCGGGCAGGGGTATGTATGTACGTACGTGTTACCTGTTGTCTGCCCGTTTTCCGGGCCTCCTCCCTGATTGCGCTGGGTTTCCTGTTTGGGAAGGCTTCAGCGCTAAACCCTGCCCCGATTGGCTGGTGTGGGAATGCTTTCAGGGTCAATGGGGCATGCTGAATTCCAAATTCTAGCACAGCACATGTGGGCTGGTGGGGGGGTGTTTGTTGCCCACATCACGCCGTGGTAGGAGCACGCACGCCAAATCACGACATATCCACAGGGGGGCTGTTGATTTTTTTTCTGCTTTTTTTCTCTCCTTTTTTTTGTGTGTGTTTCGTGGCGGTGAGAGTGTTGGGAAATGCCTGTCCTGGACGGGCTTTGCAGCGTGAGAAGGGAAAGAGAGTGAAGGGAAAGAGAAGCCCACATGAAGGGTGCCTACGTTGAACTTTCTGGTTGACGTGGATGGCAACCCGAGTTTGCGACTTGGCTAGCCCCAAACGGCAGGTGTTTTTCCCAGAACAGCATCCAGACCTATCGATCAGCACCGCATCGTCCCTTTCTGGACGTGGAGACGGCGAGCGCATGGCAAGGCGATTTTTGCAGTTTGGAAACGAGCAACACCCAACCCGCAATGGAGGGGGGGAGGAAAGGATCATTGGGCTTCGTAGCCAGCAGGTTTCTAATTGGCTGCTCAGCGTGGAAGAGGGACAAAAAAAGAAAAGCGGAACAATCTGCGCTGTCGACCGGGATGTCGAGACGGGCGCTGGTCTGGCTGGCTGGCTGCTGCGGATAGAGCCGCGCCTGGGCAACAAGAAAGAGCGGACAAAAAAACAACAACAACGAAAGGCTTGTGCGTGCGTGTGGGCATACGAGGGCGATGACCTAAGATGAGGTACGAGTCCCAATGAAACGAGCCCTCAGGATTACCGACCCATCTTGTGGGATCCTTCATCTATCTGTCTCGTCCCGGGAGGGGGCGTGGACGGAGCGTTAGAGCCTCGTCCGGGGGGCTAGCTGATTGGATGTAGGTAAGCCTTGTGTTGGGGTGAGCGCTGGGGGGGTGCGGAGAAAGATCGGTGGGCTTGGCGAGGAGAAGGTTGCCGGGTGCGCACTACCCAGTATCAAAAGCGAAGTGAAGTGACAAAACTGCATGTCGATTCTTGCAAGCCGAGGCGTGGGTCCTCCCATCCACTTGGCTCAGGCTGTCGACTTCTTCGCCGTTCCTGTACTGGACCCCCAGGCGATCCGGGGGGAGACGGGTTGCAGAGGTTTAGGCTGCGCCCGCTGCCGAAAGCGGCAACGGTTGACGCCTCGGGGTTTGCTTTTTCTTCTTCTTTTCTTCGTGCAGCGCCCAATAAGCTGGGAGGACCGATGGGTGCGTGTCCCCCCGCCCCATAGTTTGTTTCAAAGAAGGCTGGCGGCTTAGGCCGAACGTTGGGGGAAACGGGGGCAGAAAGAAACGAAGAAGAAGAAGAAGAAGAAGA